TAAATACTTTCCCTACCCAGAACTACAAGCACAATGTTGTAAAAAAGTAAAAGGAAATCACAATAGGTGTTATATAGTCTCATAGCAGGTGGTTGAGGTTATTTTCTCAATAAGTGGTTGAGTGAAAAATCTCAACAAGTGACTGAGTGTTTGTTAATAGCAGGTGACTATGTATTAGTTGTTTGTATCAATAGGGGTCTGAGTTTGAATAACAATTGGTTGTGATTTTTAGTGAAAAATCCCATAATGTTGTGTGGGGACTTGATGTAGTCCAATTAGAATAAATTAGCATAAATCCTATGTTCATTCTCTTTTTTCTTATCTCTTGTTTATTTAACTTACTACATCCACTATTATGCAATTGCATACTCTGAATTATAAAAAATAAACTTAGAAACTGTTCAAAAAAAATACACTCAGTTCCAACACTCAAAAAACTTTTCTTATGAATAACATAAATAAAAAAGAATATATTTTTAAAAAGAAACAATTCAATCTCTTTTCTTATATTCTAAGATTCATTTTACTTTTGAAATAATGACCAATAATTTTAATTATTTTATTAATTAGTTAATATGTAAAATTTGTCTCATTAAAATAACTTAATTTATATAAAAATTATAAAATTCAATTAATAGTTATAAACATGACAAAAATGCGTTAAAATCAAGCTATTAGAAAGCTAAAATATTCAATACCATATATTTTCTTTAGTTGCATGTGTTAATTGAATTATATATTTTTCATTTAATTCATATTTATTAAATTATTAAAAGAGTTTTGAATTATTTTATAACATTAAAAATAATAGCTATTTCAAAAAATAATATTAGCTTAAATTTGTTTTATAAGATAAAAGAGGATTTTCTTTTCAATAAGATACCGTCAAAAAAAAATATTTTAGCGGTATTTAATTACAGTATATATTAAACAAAAGCATATATTATAGTAATATATTACTATATATTAAAGATGGTACAATAATATGCCCCAATGCCCAGCTAGGACGCGACGATATTTAAGCGCCGCCATAAAAGTAGCATCGCTCACAGCCTCCTTCTTCTCCACTGTTAGTAGCAATGGCGAAGGGTGAAGACGCTGTGCGTCGAAAGAAGAACAAAAAGCTCCGAAAGAAGAACAACAGCACTTCCTCAGTCTCCGCCAAGGTCGCCGCCGTTATCGCCGCCAAGAAGCGCCGTAAGGCCGGTAAACGCCGCATGTGCCAGGTACAAATTCTGCCACTCCTTTTGTTTTCCAGAATGTTTTTTATTTAATTTTTGCTTTCGGTGATTTAGTTCGTTTTCTAGTTTGATCCATTGCACTTCACTTTTTGCATTATTCTCGTTGCAAAATCTCTTAAGCTTCAACAAGCACTTATAGAAGAAGATAAAATGATTTAGACTTTAGAGTCAGTTTGGATAGAGTTAGAAGCTATTTTGAGAAAGTTAGAAGCTCTTTTGAGAAATTCTCTGCTGAAAGTAAAGAGGATTTTCTGGAAGAGAAACTTTCAAAAGCATTTCTAAGCTTGCACTCACCAAACAGGCACTTAGACTTCTCTTATGAGTTAAAATTAGGTTATGTATAAGTTAAAATCAACCTTTTGGGAAGAAAGATGAGACAGCTTTCATGCATAAGTTAAAAATGCATAAACTAATTTTATCTTACGTGAGAAGTTGATTCATTCAAGTGCTTATTGAGAGCTTTCGTTTTCTTTTAATTTCCACAGTCATGCTTTTACTTTCTAGTTCTTTCTTATTCTCTTTTGATCAGTTTTGGTTGTATATGATTGCAATGAATTCATTGGCAGTGGTTCTGTCTTTTCCGGAAAATTGACAGACAGTTATGGAGGTTTTCTTGGTTCTGCCTAGTGCGTGCGTGTTGGGTGTCTTTTATTTCAAAAGTTTGAAAATTGCATGAATACAAATTTTTATTTGAAAAATAGGATCAAAATTGACATGCGTCGAAATACTTGCCAAGGCATTGGCAATAATTAATGTAATGTAATGTATCATGTCAATCTAAACTTGGTTTGAAGTTTGATTTATCCATTTTGGTCTTTATCTCATGTTACCTGCATAGTGAGGTTGATAAATGATATTCTACTGTAAACTGTATGCTTGGAGCCCCCATCACCTGTCATTTTTGGGAACAACAGTACAAATTTTGTCAGTTACTGTTGATGCACTGGTTGAAAATTTCAAAAATTTCCTGAATCTAATGGATAGCTTTTGTTATTAAATGGGTAAGCAACGTTGGTGACTAGAAGTTAGAATCATCGAGTTGAAAAGAGTTTAGTTCTTTGTTGAATATGTTAAGATAGCATTAGTGCTGATATTTCTGCAAGTGTTTATAGAATTATATTTATTGTTATTTCTTCTAGAGTAAAATAAAAATTGCAGATGTGATTTCTTTCATGATATTGAAGGGGATGTGCTTTAGTCTACCTACCCCAGATGATCCATTCAATGATCGAAGTGGGAAAGAGGAATTCAAAACAAAGGGTCCTAAAAAGAAAACACGTTCAAAACCAAAAGATGAGACAGTACAGCTTAATGGGAAGTGTGAAGCTGGAAAAAAGGGTGCAGTTGGTGGGAGGAATATTGCACAGAAATCAAATGATTTATTAAGGGAAAATATGTCTTCCACAACCAACAATAATCTTGATAATAAATGTATCATTAACAAAGAAAGGAAAAATATTGAGGTGACCAACATGGCTCATCTTCTCAGTGTTCAAGGGCCTGATTGTGACATTTCAGAGTTCCCATCTAAGTTTGTTTTTTGGTGTCTAAGTTCAATTGAAAATGCATTGCGACTTGATGATGCCTACACTGATGGAGAGGGTAACTCTTTCTTTTTGAATCCATGGGGATTAGAATTTTTAAGGTGCTATTCTTCTGGGAATGATCTGATGGATACCAGTGGAAATTCTGCTACTACTGAACAAATTGCATGGACGGTTTCAAGTGCAGCTGATACATTTGTCAGAAAAGAGAAAGAAGGCTTGTCCTTTTCTGATCCTTTTCTTTTATTTCTTGTACCTTCCCAAGAAAAAGCTGTTCAGGTGAGTTAAATTTCCTCTACACGCTTAAAAATTTCATTGCTGATCCTTTTGGTGTTTTTCTTCCTAAGATAAAAAAACTCTATACTGACACATGCACCCAACAACCTGTCTTCTCTCCTCCCCTTTTATTCTCAAAAGGAAATTTAGTCATCTGACATTTTGTCTTCAAATTTGATGTTAAATGTTAGTGTTGTTTAATTTGAAGCTTGACCTTGTTTACAGAGGTTCTGGATTTGATTCTTTTAAATGTAAGATTATATATTGAATGACATTGCATTTCATTTTCCTATAAACTCTCTATAATGAAAAAGATCTATGTACTTAGTCATTTTGTGATTTAGTCTGAATGTCACCAAGACAGTTCATAACAGTTTACAATGTGACCTTTTGTTGTTCTGTTTAATAAAAGTCAATATTAATAAAAGGGAAGAAAGTTTCATTAATTTGCTTCATTGCTTGTCCCTAGTGGGATAAGGATATTGTTGTTATTTTCTTCATTGCCTGTTATCTGTGGACCTTTACAAATATTGATTTGTTTGTTATAGCTTTTGATTCTAAAAATTCAAAATTGATGCACAGGTTCGAACAGTTTGCAAGCCTTTGAAATCTGTTGGAATACATACAGTGAGTATTCATCCAGGTGCTCCCTTAGATCATCAGATTCAAGGGTAATTGTTGAAACTTCATCTTTTTTTTTTCTTTCATTTTTTAAGATATTGATGTGTTTGATCAAGCATGATATACTCAGATAATAGTGAATCTTTAGTATTGATCATTTTGTTTGGTAAGGCACGCTGGTTCTCACTTATTCAAGATTATATTGCCAAGTAAATCATATTTGATAGTCCTTAATTTAGCTTTATTTGGTAAGATATCTGAAGTGTTTTCGGGGTACTTCTAAGTCTAACTATTGCCCTCCGTAACATGGCTCAATTACTTTGATGAATCCATGATTTAGCAGAAATCATTGAATCATTAATTGACCAAGAATGAGTGAGGTTCTGACTATGAGAGCCATTTTTGTCTTTCTTACACAAATTATTGACATCTTTATATTGAATCTTATGTTCATGCGTATAATTTATATGTGAGATTCAATGCAGTACGTGTGTACATGGTTTAAATTTGTACGTGTCTTCTCTTTCTTCTCTTTGATAGAATATGAAATTATAAAGAAACAAAGTAGGGGAGTACATCTGTTGATGGTAAGCTATGCTGCTAAAAGAAACAAGAACAATCTAAACCCAAACAAGAACGCAGTTGTCATATTTCTTTCATATAAATTGTAGACATCTCTGTCTCGTATTTGCTTGTGCCTCTAAACCCAAACAATGAAAGAAAGATAAATGAACCAAGCAGAGCATGCCAGCATCTGTTTATATATGTGAAAGGAAATCCCTTTGGACATACCATAAAGAAGCCAAAATGGTCATCCACCCTTGGAGAATACTGAGTCAGTGGTTGATCCTTCTCAAAAGTTCCAGATTTTCTTCTAATCTTAGACTCTAAATAACAGCATACCTTGCACAATGCCATAAGGACTTGATAGAAGCTGATAAGAAACAATGAAATGTAGCTCTTTTCCATAGGGAAGATCTATCTTGATTACACTGAAAAACAAAAAAATAAATATAGAAACACCATTCGAAATTTGAGGGTATGCAAACCTCCATGCCCAAAGGATTCAAATCCTTCATACAATTTCTTCTCCCCTCTCCTAGATCTGTTTCTACTTCACTTTTTGTCCTTACACCTAATCAATTCCCTCCTTTTTCTACACTTTTTGCCATGCAGGCAAGGCTAGGTTGCTACAACCCTATACAGTCCAAGTTTCACTTTTGCCCCTTACATTGTCATTGAAGTAATAGTCATGAGTCCTGAAAGATTTTCATTCCTATTCCCCTTGCCCAATTCTTTCATAGAAGAGGTTGTTCCAACTTCCAAGCTTGTAGGACACGGCCAACATTCCCTAAAGATTTGTAAGAGGGGGAGGGAGGGAAACTAACAGCAAGAGAATAGAATATTGGAAATCTGTGGTTCCCAAAGTTGAGATATTAACAAAAAATGAAAGAAACTGAGAGAGTTTGTTTGGGAGAAAGTAGAAGAAAAAATGTGCAAGAGTGGGGTTTTTAGAATAGGATATTTGATAGTACTAATATAGTTTTTAATTTTCAGTAGTGTAGAGACATGCTCCTTCAAGTAGACCTGCTGTACTGTATCTTTCTTTCCTTTCTGCTAGATATTCAGTTGGATGTTCAGTTGGGTTTCTTATAGAGTTCAGTTACTTCTGAACTGAATGTAAACATCTATAAATACTTGGTTCTTGTACACTAAAATCATAAATGAAATATACAAGTTTCATCACATTCTCTGTCTGAGAATTCTAATATGGTATTAGAGCAAGTTGATCCATTATCATGGCTTCTGCACCGGAAAAGAAATAAACTAAAAGAGAGGGAGGGAGAGGAAAACTTTGTGAGAAATGAGGGGGAAAAAAATACAAGATAGTAGGATAAGAAATCCACCTAGAAAGAGTCAGAGAATGTATAACTGTGTAAGAACAATATCTCTTCACATGAGAAAAAAAATATAATGAAACTTTGTTATACATAAACATGAGTGGGGCAAAGCTTTAAAGACAATTAACACTGAAGTACAAGTTTTTGAAATTGAGCAAAGGGGCATTTGTCCCCCAAATTGCTAATGTGGGTCCATCCCTGCCAACTAGGCTAGAAGAAAACTTTATTTGTGAGAAAGGAAGAGAGTAGGATAAGATAACCAAAAGAGTAAAAATACAAGAAAACAGTGAATCTAAGCACAAAGAACAGAATACCAATGGGAGTCCTTAAACACAAAGATATCCCATAATACATCATATGTAAGGGCCAAGAGATGCCCTTCCATGTATATGTGCATTTGGCTTCATCTGGCTATGCCTGATAGTCATAAAGCAAAAGCAATACACAATTACAAAAACTTTCATCTTTCTTATTCTTTCCAAAACTTTTAAAATGTAAATTGCTCCAATGTGGAAGAAATTGATGCATCCAATATTTACTAAGAAATACAAACTGATTGCTCCATTTGGAAGCAGCTAAGGGGGTCTTTGGAAATTGAAAGACCTAATGGAGAACTTATTTGAGCTTATGAAAATAGCTTATGACTTCCCTAAGCTCTTGCCTGTCAAGATAAGCTCTTTTTAACTTGTACAGACAAGTTTCATGATCAACTTAATGATATACACTGTTGTGTGATAAAAACTTATTGAATATGCTTAGTTGTTTACCTAAATGAACCCTAAATTAAATTTGAAAATAACTCCAATAGAAATGAGGTCCTTTATCCAATCAAACAATTTGACTTGTGAATCACAAATTTCCTGTTGGGCTTATGACAAAAGTACATCTTCTTATTAGGAGTAAGAACTAAGAAGATGAAAATACAACAGAATAGTTGAATAAAGTAAGAAGGGATTCTAAAACATTATTTTCTCTATTACATTATTGCAAATGTCTATCTTCAGCTATCAAAAAGATCAGCCAAATAGGAGTGGTGAAACAACTTTTCCCCATGATACAATATTATGGAAAGTCAAAATTATCTCACATTCTTCAATGTGGTAACCCCACCAAACCACTTGTAATTGCACCATCACTCAATTTTACGGACAATAACTACAATGCTAGTCAAAATCCAATGCTGATAACTGCAAATGTTCAAAGAATTCAAACTTTTCAAAATTCCATAACTTCATTGGTCAAAAAAATCAACCAAAAGCAAATTATTATAATGATTGTTCAAAAGTTCAATTAAGTGTGTAGAGTTTTAATTATTAATTATTACGTATATTCATTATGTATATGTTAATTTATAATATATAAAATACTATCTATAATATATAATTATATATAATATATAATATTATATATTGTTGGGGAGGGATCAAATTACATCAGTGTAATTTTTACAACTATTATATCGTTCAATAACTTTATATAATATGAGAATTTTGTTGATCCAACCGTTGAATTATAACTTTATATTACCTTGAATGTTTATGTCAAATTTTGTTAAAATTTAACAACAATAAGAAGATAATCAAGTTATTTATATTTTAATTTGTTTGAATAGTATATATTACATTGATTTTGATTTATATAAATGAGGTATCAAATACCCTTGGATTAATACAAAATTTTGGTATATATGATTTACGTGAAAAGAATTTTCAATCTAAAAGTGAGTTTTGAAATTTTTTTATCTAATTGAAAGTTATTGACTAATGTAATAATTGGTAAAAGTTACACCGGTGTAATTTGATCTTTTCCTTATATTGTATGATGTAATATATTATAGTATAGTCAAAAACTTGGAATGTAAAAATAATTGAATGATCAATATTAAAAGAATTAAAAAATCAATATCTTGTCTTTCCAAGAGGGAGGATATTATAGTATATTACACATTGTTCTTTCCAGTTTCCAGTACACATTAGCATGTCAAATAACACAACAAAATTGCTTGTGTTGTGCATTGGTGACCAAATAGCAAAGAAGAACAAAATCTTGTGTTGTGACTAAGTTACCCATTCTGCTCTGTTTTGTTTTATTCAAACACACCTGGAATATCTTGTGCGTGTAGTCTGGCAAGTGCAAAATAACTGGCTACTAGTCTTCGTAAGAAATACTCATTGTCTATGAATTCTGGCCAGTGTAAAAAATTGGCTACTAGTCTAGTAAGAGAACTCCATTACGAAATATATCAATAGGGAGATCCTTTGTGGTGTCACTGGTGTGTAAGTCTGCAAAATAATATTTTGATATTAATTTGTAATTACTTCTGTTCAATGAATGAATTGAATTTTGAAAGTTCCTTGGATTTGCAAGTGACATTTCAAGTAGGAAGATGTCCCTGTTTGGGGAATAAATAGGCAATTCCAAGGATTAACCAGAAAAGATAACTGTTTGTACAACTATTTTGGGCATGTGCATGCACATACTTAAATTGTTTTAATGTTTTATTAGCTTACACTTTATGTTATCCAATTTCTTATTCAACCTTTGTATTGCTTTCAACAGTCTGAAGACTTGTGAGCCTGAGTTTCTTGTTTCTACACCTGAGAGGCTTTTGGAGCTTGTTTCTATGAAGGCAATTGATATTTCTGGTGTTTCCATGCTGGTAGATTTTCCTTCCAATGTCCCATTATGTCTTTCCCTTTTCTCTTTTGATTACCAACTGGTGATTATTCCTTGTTATTGTCTGTTAAATAATTTTTATCAGTAAGTAACCACGGCTCAAAAATGATAATACAATCTTATATGTTTTCAGTTACACTCAGCATACGTCATCTATTTTATCTTAAATGGGAATTTGCAAGCACATTTCATATGGCTTTTATGTTCGAATTTTCATGCTTATTCCTCACTTTTGTCATAATATTATTAGTATGCATTCTAGTTGTTTACCTTGTAATTCTTTCTTTGTAGTTGTCTTGTCTGTGTTACCTTTTCTGACAGCTAGGAGTTTTGTCAGGAGTTAAATTTGCACATCCCACAATGGATAGCTTAAAAATTTTATTTTAATTTGTGTTGCTTTCTTTTGATGGATATATCGTTATCTAGGTCTCCTATGTAAATGTTTGATGACAGTTCAAAGTTAAATTTCTTGGCAGAACGAAAGATAATTTATCATTGGCAATTTCATAGTTTTATTCTTTCATGCATGAGATGGTGGGATTATGGAAGGTTTGCCTATAAATAAGGATTTCAATCATAAGGATCAATTGTGTACTCTTTTTACATTGGCATTGGATGTACTTATTGAGCATATGAAGGAGCTTGTACCTCATTGCATGCTTTTGCTAATGATATAGTCCTAGTGGGAGAGTTGGGAGAGGGAATAAATAGTAAAGTAAAAATAGGAATGACTTGAGCATTGTTTGATCACCTTTTGGAAGGGATGGGAAAATAGATTTTCATCCTTCAATAAATTGCTATATTAGGGTGGTAGAAACTTGATTAATTTTACTCAAGTTATACCTGCTTTTTCCACGTTATTTCTCTTGTTGATCTAAGATTCACATTTGTGCTTATTTGTTATTATTTTAGCAAATTTCATATATTTAGGAATTGAGTGAAAGTTATAACTTGTAAGCATCTTTTGATTTGAAAGTTACTGTATGTGCTGGCATATGGGTTTCTAATTTCTATAAATACAGTACTCCCTGTATTATATATAAGTCAGTTCCAGTCATCGTTCATTATAATTTATTCTATTTATTGTAAGTTGATTAATGACTGTTTTGGTATTAACAGGTTATTGATGGGCTTAATACAATTTGTAGTTCTGGGCACACTGATACAATAAAATCCATCAAGAAGTGTATTTCTGGAAATCCCCGTCTTGTGATTTTCAATGATTGCTTCAGCCACATGTCTATCCCAATGGTTCGGTATCTTCTGACTGGATCAATTTGTAGACTCTCTCTCAACAACTCAATTACTAGCCTAAGTTCATGCATTATCCAGTCTGTTAAAGTGTGTACATCAGAAGATAAAGTTGTCAAGGTAAGTTTATTGGTCTTCTAGGAATGAATTCTATCTCATAAATTTATGTATTTTACCCAAATTTTGCTTGGTAGATTAAAATGTAGATTTACCAGGGACCTATTATTGCCTAAGGAAATTTGATAGTATGATAATACAACAAAAATATTTTTGCAAGGTCTCCATAGGATTAAATTGTTTGACTTAAAACTGGATATATTTTTATATTTCTGTGAGGCTACAGTTGCATTAAATATTTAGCTGATCTATACATCAAGGGTAAGAATTTCAACTGGTAAGTTTTCATTGTACATTTGTTCTACTATGTTTGAATTTTGTCAAATAACTTTATTTCCAGAACTTGCACAGTCTTTGTTTCTTCTTTCTTAAACCTGTTTATATCTTTCAGATGTGCAAGTGCATATTATGCTTCTCCCATTTCGCCCCTTAAGATTTGTGTGTACAGATTCCTATATTAGGTTTTATTTTATTTTTTCTTTTTTAAGATCAATAATCAATACAGCTCTGAAAAATGCTTCAATGTAGTTATGCATTTTTACACAAGTTTAAAAGCACTCATGAGAACTATTAATTCTTGCAGAGCATTGAAGCCCTGGATCAATTTCAAAGCAGTTGTACTCAGAATTCAAACATGCTATTTATTTTAAGGAAAGATGTCAAGTGCCATAAATTGGTCAAGACTATTGAATCCAAGGGTTGTTCCATATCACTTGATTCTGATGCAGCAAGTTTTAATGATAGGTAAAGCATCAAATGCAGTTCAGATTTTGGTTTCAAGATTTTTATTTTTATATCTAACATAATTCAAGAGAACATTGTAGTAGTTTACAAGAAATCTAACCTACCTTAACAGAAGTCTACTGTCTACATTGCAGCCATCATGTGTTACGATTTTTAGAAACCTCCAATATTAGATCCAGTTTTGGTTGTGGTTTGTTTTATTTTCTAGGAACTTCCTGTTGTATGAGAATTTGTACCTATCTTACAATTTTTAAACCCAAAAATCACCATCATTCTTGGTTGTAATAAGTAGGTCAAGCAATGGTTGATTTTGTGCATCAGTAATGATGTTTCTATTTCAAAAGAAAGTCAAAATGGATTTCTTCTTGTTGAATGCATGGATGTATATGAAGGGGATTTTGTTTGAATGTAAAGTCTGAAACTAAAATCTACGCTTGGTGAAGTGTTAGATTTCATCTTAAAACCAATTGACAATAAGTGAAGTTGTCCAACAAATATATAAGTTGCATCCTAAGAATTGAGGCATGCAATGTGGGACCTTCCCAATATTCCTGCTCCACATATGTCTGCCAGGACAAGCGAGTCTACCGGAATAGGTTATTTTCCTAGATGAGTTATAGGTTTTGATACCATATTAGATTCAATCTTAAAACCAATTGGCATCAAGTTAAATTGTCCGACAAATATATAAGCTGCACTCCAAGAATTGAAGCACGTTATGTGGGACCTTCCAACAATAGGGGTTGAAGGGAGGAAGCAATAAAGAATATTCCCTAGGGAGCCCATGTTGATTAGACCCTGAGCATAACATAACAGACAGCTGGCAGGAAGATGATCTGAATGTTTATAGGGAGGGTGTGGTGATATTGCTTATTGCAGTCTCTGGGTATTTTTTTAATTTATTTTTTTATTCTTTCATCTAAAATGCTACTATCTCTTTGTTTTATAGAGGGTTTCCCTCTGTTGTTTGAAACTTAGCTCCCTAAGTTTTATCAGAAGATGCCCTAAATTTTTTTTGTTTTGCTTTTTTGCTTAACTGGTTTTTTGATTTGATATGAGATTTCCCACTATTCTTTTCATTGGACTTCCTATAGGAGCTTATGTTCTGTCTTTTTTCCTATACAGTGTGGATTCAGACAGCAGAGCAGCGGTTTCTGCGATTTATTTGGAGAATCTCTCTACTATGGATTTAGGAACATATGATGTAGTAGTCCTACCGAGTTTTGTACCCTCCATGGACACTTACGTGCATATTTTGACAAAGATGGCTCGCCAAAGTGTCAATGGTGTATTGCACAGTTTCTTAACAAAAAGAGATACAGAACTTGCTGCACCACTCATTAAAGTTCTTGAACAGTGCGGTCAGGAGGTGCCTCAGACCCTGCAGGATCTGCATCATACATCAAACATGTTGGAAGATTGAATGTCGGAGGTGCTTAATCATCCTTTTATGTTCATTCTGTCTGTGGGTCATGAGATCAAGATAAATTCCGCTTGCTTTGGATCTTGAGCTGGGAGCTGAGTTGGAGGGAGGTGTCCTAGTCCTATTCATTGAATTTGAACCTTGCACCACATGAAGAAACATTCAGAATTCTTTTTGCAATACGTGCAAGGAAGACTCACATTCAGAAAAATTTTGTAATACTATATCCGTGCTTCTCTTTCAATGACTATATTTTACCTGTGGTTGAGTGAAGGACAATGATATTTTGCAACGAAAGTTAACGTCAACGTTGAGCTAAGCTCGCTAAATTGAAGGAAATAGAGGGACTATTATTTAAGATGACTGGATAGTCCTCTAAGGTATTTTTCATGTTCTGTTAATGAAATTTTTTTTAGTTTCATATTGATATTGTGTTTCCCTTTCTGCCTTTCCTTTCAACCAAAACAGGGAAAGATTTAATTTAAAATTTGGTTATTCGCTAGACTATTTAATTAGGTATTGTATTAAAAAATTGTAACTTAGTCATGAGTTTGTAAAATTTTTGTAATTGGATCTGGTATTAATTTATGGCTTTCCAAACAAAAATAAAATAAAATTATATATATATATATATATATATATATATATATAAACCATGAATAACGCCCATAAATAAACAAAAACAAACTAAGTAAAAAAAAACAGAGGGATTACATTTTTGTAATTGAGCATCCATGGTAGCAGAACTTTAAACAAAAAATCTGAAAAAAATTATAATTTCATACCACTTTAACTAATAACAATGAAATAATGTGCGCATTTTTTTGTTTGTACTTTTTCTTTTGTTTTAACTTTTAAGTGATGTGTTCTTAGTAAATGGATAATTTAAGTCAATTTACTTTTATTTCTCACCAAGTATTGTTCCAAGTGTTGTATAAGTTAAAATAATAATGGACAAAACACAATAAGATTGTCGTTGCTAACTAAAGTAGAGGGAGACTTTTTTCTGTTCAACCTGTTTCTCAAGATACCTCAGATTTATTTTAAAATTTATGAATACAAATAATCCTTGAAAAGCATTGGTAACATATACATAAGTGTAAAAAATGTGAATTCATCATGGTTTATAAGATCATCAAATATATCTTTATTGAATTCAAAGACTTTGTGTATATAATAAGAATTTTAAATTATATATATTCAAATGAAAAAGATAAACTTATCGAAAAATCAAACATTCACTTTATATATATATATATATATATATATATAAAATCAACAATTCCAAAACCTTTTATATTTATAAGGGTATAGTAGAGTTTCTCAATAAAATTTAGAAAGTAACTAAATAATTTTTAACAATAATATTATATATAATAATAATATTTTAGTTTATAAAAAATAAAAATTAATAATAAAATATGATAAATGAATTATGTATATAAGCATGATTAAAAATTATGAATCATAAATTTTAACAAAGAGTTATTATGGACCGACTACGAAATGCCTTAAGTATTAGAATTTTGATTTTTGTAATGAAAATTATATGATAAGTAAAATAATAAGCAATAAAACAGTAACCAAAACTCTTAATAGAAAAAGAAATGTTGTATATCTTTAGTAGAGAGATTTTCAATAAAACATATAATAAAAAGAAATGTTGTATATCTTCAGAAAAGAAAGTTACAAGATTTTTTTTATAATAAAAAAATGTGGATTTTGGAGAAAAGAGAAAAGAACAATTGGAGGAGAAGAGAAAATAAATAAAAAGGAACAAACTCTTTTTGAAATAGAAACGAAGATCTCTAGAATGAATAATATAAAAAAAGAATATAAAACTAGTTTGTAATGATATAATAAAAAAAATAAAAATAAAACTATTTATGTGGTGGACGTGATTCAAACATGAGTATTTCTGAATAAGTTTCTGTATAAGTTAAATAATAAATTATAATGAACAATTTATTAAAATAAGGTAAAAATAGTTTATGAGCTAAATATAAGATGTTTTATAAGTTTTTTTAAACACTTTTTTATAAACATTTATAGAATAAGATAAATATAAATAAGTTATTCATAAACTTTTTTAAACGAAACTTTAAACTTTGTTATTTGACTTTGAATCATCTCATTATATACTTTTCACTTTTAGTCATATCTAACCAGGAAAAAAAATGTATGTTGATTAAGAAAGGTAGTTAATATCATTTGTATTTGTCTCATTTCATTTTTTTTTAAATTATCGTTCATTAAACTTGATATAAAGAATTTTTTTTTATTGAAAATAAAACATTAATTATAATAATATTGATGTATTTTTTTATTATATTTAAAATTGGACAATATTTTTTAGAGAAGACAAATGGATCAAGCCAATTTGACCCATAAATTAAAAATAGGCTAGTCACCTTTGACTACCCATCAAAGTGTAAGTTGAAGGTTGGTGAACTAGCATGCCAAAATTTATAAAAAGAAAAGGGAAAAAAAGAAAAAAAGAAAAAGGAAAAAAAGAAAGGGGGGAAATAATTTATTTTATAAAATTAATTTAAATAGACAAATTTAATTAAAGGATGAAAAATATTAATAATTTAGTCTAAATTTCATTTAAAAGTTAGGTTTTTTTTATTAGTGAAAGATAATTAATTTATAAAATAAACTAACAATAGTAACACATTTTTTTATGAACATTAACTTTTTTTAAAAATATATAACTTTGAGCTTCAATTTTTAATATAATTTTTTTTTATGAAAAAAAGGGCATGTGAGACAAGCCAAGATGAGTTGACGGGTTGGAGCATATTGAAATATGGTCCAATATATATATTGAATCATAGAGCAAATAAAAACATTTATAGCAACAATACATTGCATAACATAACAATAGAAAGATAAAAAAAAAAAAAAATCATCTAACAAAATCTCATATTTTATCTATAGCTACTCATCTATCTATTTAATTTGTTATAACCTTTATTTGCAATTACCTTATCACTTATCTTTTTAATATGTTATAATTTGAGTTTTGAAACTCGCTTATCCTCTAATACTCCCCCTTAAGTTGGAGTTTGAGAATTATGAATACCCAACTTGACTATAAGTTCTTGGAATCGTTTTGCTGGTAACGCCTTTGTGAATATGCCAACTTGTTTCTTCTTAGTGTGGATGTAACTAGTGGAAATTATACCATTCTGTAGGTGTGTGTTGATAAAATGACAATCCACTTCGATATGCTTTGTTCGCTCCTGATAAATTGGATTAGTTGCAACAATGATTGCAACTTGATTGTCACAATATAATATAGCAGGTGAGTCATGGAATTTGTAAATTGGATAATAAGCTATGCAACCAAATAATTTTTCTAATAGCTTGTCCCATGACTCTATATTCTACCTCACTTGATGACTTTGACACACTAGATTGTTTTTGTTTTCCAAGATATTGGAGTTGATCCCAACTTCATTAAGTATATTGAAGTTGATCCTTGAGTTAATTAACATGATGCCTAGTATGAATCGCAATAGCCCACTAATTGAAGGTAATTCTCCTTAGGTAAAACAATGTCTTCTTCGAGTGAAGATTTCAAATACCTTAACACATGCATATCAACATCTTAATGAGCATAGTGTGGAGAACATGAATTAACTTAATATGTGAACAGGGTAAGTGATCTCTGGATGAGGAATGGTCAGGTAATATAAACAACCAACGAGCCTTCCTTCGATAGCGATGAGGATCTAAAAAGGTGATTCCCATGTCTAAAGCCAACTTTTGGTTTTGCTCCATTGGAAAGGAATATGGTTTGCAATTGATCATTTTATATTCACGTAAGATATCTAAAGTGTACTTGCATTAGAAAATGAATATGCCAACTGTTCCTTGTGCTAGCTCAAGACCTAAGAAAAATTTGAGAGGCCTGATGATGACAACTCCTAGTAGCTCTTGATCTATTTCGCCAACTAGAGTTGCTCTAAGTCTCTTGACTTTTCTTTGTGCTCCTCATTTGTCAAGATTGATTGAAGAAAACCTTAGGGAGATGTTGAACCTTTGGAGTTGGAAGCACTCAAGCCAAGGACTCAAGTGATTGCTCACAAAGGTGGATGAACCTAGAGAAGGAATTTTTGGAATTCCTAAAGTTCTAAACTCTTAAGTGACCCTAAGTTGAGAGAAAATTTACAAGAATGCAAAATGCTCTATACATAAAACTTAAAGTGAATACAAATGAGTGAGGAGAGCTTGATTTATAGGCCAAGGGAAGGATGAATGTGGAGGCACAAAGTGACTAGGTGCATTTATCATTTATCATTTATCATTTATGTTTTTATTTGATAAAAAATGTTGTTACATAGTTAGATGATTGATGAAGGGAGTCAAGATGGAAAAATATGTTTTTCGATGAGAGAAAAAAAGTATAAGTAAAAAAATCTTATTAAACCAATTAATCCATAAAACACCCAAGTAGAAACCCTAAAGAAATTGATAAGAACAAAGAATATCTTAAATTTATTGACCAAATCAAATAAGACAAAAAAAATTTTTTTTTTACACTATATGTAGCAATGAAGCAAAAAAAATAAGCGTCAATACCATCAATCACAAACCTATCTATGTGATTATGTGCTGGATAGAGAATATATTACATGAAAAAAAAATGAACATAAGATAAACATGGAGATGAATACAAAAACAAAATGAATAGAAATATTGAGAATAACGAAAAGTGAGAGATAAGCAAAAAAAAATAAGAAAGGAAAAAATAAATTGTATATAGAAGAAACTTCTTCAAGAAGCTTATTGTGTGAAAAGTTGGGAAAAAAATTGAAATATCTATAAAGATTAGAGAATGATGATTTTGAGAATGATGATGACTTTAAAGGAAACAAAAGGTAAATGTTTAGATTATGAATTTAGTTACAAAATAAGATATTCTTTTTTATTATAATTTCAATTAGGATTTCAAAAAAATATTTTTTAAAATTAAAAAATATTTAAAAAAAAACTAAAAATTAAGTATTATTAAAGACTTAATTAGCCCAAATTTTTACACATGGCAAAATTTAGAAAAGTTTAGTAATTTAAATTTCTTAGTCTATTCCATTTATATACATATAGTAGATAGTAGACTAGTGAGACTCGTGACATCCTCTATCCCGCATACTATAATACATGAATAAATAAAATTGAATAAAATACACCATCAAAATTAGTTCCAAATATTCAACATAGAGAGTACTATATTTTAGCAAAATGAAACCAAATGAAATATAATACATTAAAATAACAATTGTCTTAAAACATAACTTAAAGAAAAAGAAATCCTAGTTAAATTTCGATGTCACATCCTATCAGAGCATAAACCCTATTATAAAGACTAGGCCTCATGGCCAACACCCTCAACCACCTGCAATAACATACAATAGAGACAAC